CTATAAGAGTTACTTACAATGACATTTTACTATATCGAAAATTTTTGTTGAGGCTGTCAATCACTTTCATGTCCTCTGGGGTCAATTCAAAGTCAAACACCTAGAAAGAAAGACAGAGGCACAAACACTAAAAATAATAAATAAATAAATAAATAAATAAATAAATAAATAAGCCATTGAAGTGGCCTTCTACCTTGAAATATAAGGGGGATAGCAACAAGGGTGGCTTTAAGAGAAGAATTTTTGTCACCATTGGCTTCCAGGTAGTCCTGGTCTCAGAACAGTTGGCTGAGTACTGCAGCCCCTCCTTTCCCATTCCTGTCCTACTTTGATCCACTTCACAAAAGGAAGAAGACTCATCAATCCCTAATCTTAAGTAAGGCAGGAAAAAAAGAACTCCCAAATTAATTTTCAAATCTAGATGAAATACTAGATTTGGCCTTACCAAAATTTGTTGAATTTTTCTTCCTTTGCAACCCTGGAATTTGATCCAGCCTTGAATAGAACCCACCCAATCATAGAGCATAGTCTAACTCCTCTCTAGGACTTGATTTAGTTGAAAAAAAAATCATGCCCGGATCAATTGTTCAACAGTACCACTCAATCTTCTCGTGTTCTCAAACATTATCTATGTCTATTCTTCTTTATCGAAAGAACCTTTCTGATCAATCACTGAGATAATGGATCCTGTATTAAATGATTTCTCCTATCTGAGTCAGTCTCTCTCACTCAAATCCATCTTTGTTTGTATTTGATAGTATGGAGTTCCCAGAGGAAAGTGCTTTAATAGAAAAGCATGGAGATCTTTGGCAAAATATGTTGCCAATTACCTCATCAGGAGAAAAGTTCATCAAAAATTCAAGATCTACCTAGTGGGTAAGATCACTTACTGTATAAGCATAGGGACCTGAGTTCAAATCTTCTCACCCATACAAAAAAAAAGTCATAAGAGTGCCTATAACCCCAATACTTTAGAGAGAACGAGACGGAGGACTGCTGGAACTGGAAGGCTGTCATCCTACCTGTGTATTCAGTGAGACAGTTTGTCTCAAGACAACAAGGCAGGGAGTAAAGAGAAGGGTGCCCAGTACAGGACATATATGACAACGCATACACCATATACACACACATTAAAAAAAAAAAAACTGCAGAGTCCCATCCATCTGTCTACCGACCTACTACATATAATAGGTGATTTTGTTAATTTGAGACATAATCTCGTGTAGCCCAAAGTGGCCTCAAATTTTTTATATTGCCAAGAATGCCTTGAACTTCTGATATATATGATTTATGTTTATATATGTATATATATATGAAAA